AAAGAGTAGACTGTATCGATCATTTCTACATGTGCAATTCAGTGACACCAATGGCATTCTGCAAGTTAGGCTGCCATACTCTCAAACTCTCCCAAATCATCCCGCCCTCCCATTAGCATAAATGTCATGCCCCTACGAAGTCCTGGTGGCCCAGTGGTTCGGCGCTTGGCTGCCAGCCAGAAGGTTGGTCGTCCTAACCCCCCAGCTGCTCTGTGGCTGAAAGACGTGGTTTTCTACTTCCGTCAAGAATGCAGGCTTGGTACGCATTTTATAGTTTACAGGGACGGGGATTTTCACTGATGGAGGGTAGGTTTGCGGTCATTTCTTGAAAATGTCAATAAGTTGTACATTGGTTAAAAGTTGAATTGGCAAAAAATAGTGTGAAAGCCATCGTTACCACAGCGACCAAACATAAACCAATACATTGGCTTACAGGCCAATTACAAGGCCCTGAGAGGAAGAAGGAAGCATCAGCATGTTATTAGGCCGATGAACTGGGCGGTCCCGTCGAGCCCCAGCACTAAACCTCTGTCCTGTCGGCACTGGGCTCAGCAGCAGTGGGTTTGGTCAAGCCTCTCTACGCCGGGATAGAGTGACCATCTGGGAAGCTCACAGGGGCAGTTCCACCCTGTCCTCTCGCGTCACTGTGAGGCGGCATCGACTCCACGCAGTGAGTTAGGTGAGGCTCAATGTTTAACCTAGGCTTTCCCACAGTGGCCATGCCATTTCCAAGGGCCTCTCTTGACGCCCTTCACCTCCTCGCCCCCTGCCCACCCTCAGGTGGTCGATCATCAGCGATGTCCCTCCTCGGCACGTCTCTGCTCTCTGCCCAGAGCCCCCCCGCCAGCGCCAAAGTCTCTTCCTTCCCTCCTCCCTTTCTCCAGCCCACCTCCACCTGGCAACCGGAGGAACTCTGCAGACATGAACAGGATGAAAATAATAAATAAATAAACAAGACAAGCATCAATGGGATGCCCCCCTTGGGCTCCAACAATGAGCCCAAGCATAGGAATACTTGTGAGAGTAACGCAGGACCAGACAGTGTTTTGTTCTGTTGTGTGATGGCATCGGTAACAGCAGCAACAACAACAACGCTTCATGGTTTCTTATTGCTCTTAGAATAAAGTGAATTAAATACCTGCCTGGTCTTGACCTTCTACTCACGTGACCCCCGGACGATCCCTCGGGCTGCCCTCCCGGCATGCCAGCCTCCTGGACCTTGGGCCTTGCTGCCTTGAGTCAGGCCTTGGCCTTTGGTTCTCTCTGGGAGGACACCTTTCCCTCTACTGTGTTCGCCCCCGTATCTCCTTAGGCCCCACCTGCAATGCTTTGTCCTCCAAGACACCTCCTCACTGGACACTTGAGTCAGTGCCACCCCCAAACGGCGTGAGGTCTCTGTCCTTCCACACACACCCAGACTGTCTCTTCTCAGCACCGCAGTATGCAGTGAGATCTTGATTAGTGCCTTTTTTTTTTGAGTTCTTGGGTGGCACAAATGGTTGAAGGCAGTGGTTCTCAACCTTCCTAACGCCGCCACCTTCTAATCCAATTCCTCATGTTGTGGTGACCCCAACCATAAAATTATTTTTGTTGCTACTTCATCACTGTCATGTTGCTACTCTTATGAATTGGGTGACCCCTGTGAAAGGGTTGTTCGGCCCCCAAAGGTGTCATGACCCGGAGGTTGAGAACCGCTGGTTTAAGGGCTTCAGACCACCTCCAAGGGCAGCCCTGGCAGTCTTCGGCCCCAAGGTCACAGCCTGGCCCCCAAGGTCACAGCCTGGGGACCTCCCCGAGCTGCTGGTTCTACCCTACATGCACTAGAACCATCCCATAGCAAGTCACCACCATTTGACTTACTTAGTTCTTTATTTTCCTTATTTATCCTCCCCCCCAACCATGAGTTTATTGAGATCTAATTCACGTGTCACACTCTTCCACAGTTCAGTCATATTTTAAAGAGCGGTGTAGACATTGCCACAATCAGGTCTAGTGCACCCTCCCCGCTTCTGTCTTCATTATTTGCTCCCCAACTCCCCTCAACCTCACCCCCCGACTCCCAATAAGCTATTATGACAATTATTGTCTCTATACACCTACCCCTTTGTGCTTCATAAACTGGGAACCATACCAAAAACAAAACAAAAAGAACAAAAACAGTGTGTGTGTGTGTGTGTGTGTGTATATATATATTATGTATATATATATATTTTTTTTCTTAAGAAAAGACCAGCAACAATATTAAAATAAGCCAGAGAAAACCTCTGTTGAGAAACTAGCAAGAAATATTTAAATCTAGAGCAAATCCAGAATGGGTCGAGAGGGAGATCAAATGACCACATACCCTATCTTATTATACCATAGTTTCATCCACCATAATCAAGTTTACAGTAATCTGTCTGATAGCCGGGCTATTGCGTCCCTACACTGTGGTCAGATCTGCCATAGGCTTAATCCGCATAGGTAACACATAACACGATTTATTTTTAAATGGTCTATTTTCTGCGCTAAGGGTCTGTCTCCCCCACAGCCCATCCTGATGAGGGCAAGGATCTTGTCTGTTTTATCCGTGGCTGGTTCTCAGAACCTAATGAGGTACTAAGTGCCAGGCTCCTTGGGAGCCTGTTGTCCTGAACGTCATTTCTACTCACAGCTATCCTATAGGACAGACTAGGAATATCCTATAGGGGTCCCAAGGCTGTAATCCTTAGAGAAGCAGGCTGCCACATCTATCTCCTGCCAAGCGGCTGGTGGGTTTGGACCCAAGACCTTTCACTCGCAGTGAGCGCTTAACCATGGTACCTCGAGGCCCCTCGGAAAGAATTGTTGGGTGAACAGATGAAGGGCTAACAGCTCACCCCGCGGCTGGAGCAAGGGCATGCTTCCTCACAAGCTCTGGACTGCCCTGGATGCCATCTGTGCCCTCCGATGGGGCAGGAGCAAGGCCCAAGCCTGGCCACGGGGCATCTGGCCTGCTCTGCTGTGTCTGAGGCTGTGAAGCGTGACCCCTGGCTGTCACCTCTGATGGAGGGAGAGGCTGCCTCAGGCGGTGAGGAGCTGGGCTTGGAGAAGAGCTGGTGCCAATGGGCGGAGAGGGCAGCCAGCCATCGAGAGGAGCGGAGGCTAGCCTGGAGGATGGTGCGCAGTGAAGGATGGGGCCATGATTTCAAAGGCCTCTGCTACCAGTCTGGACTTTACTCTGGGCACCAAGGGGGGCTGACGGTAAGGCGAGCTTGGGTTTGTTGTTAAACAGGGCAGTGTTTCTGGTGTTAAGGGCTCGCTCTGGCAGCATGGTGGAGGGTGGTTCTGCGAGCAGGACTGACAGGTTTTGAGAGCTTGCTCTGGCTACGAGGACATGAGCGGGCCAGTGGTAGAAGGCTCGCCTTGCGTGTGGGGAACCCGGGTTTGATTCCTGGCCGGTGCACTTCATGCACACCCACCACCCACCATTTCAGAAGAGGCTTGCATATCGCTATGATGCTGAAAAAGTGGCACCTTAAGATGGGCTAGGCAGAAAGGCCTGGCAGTTTACTTCTGAAAATCAGCCAAAGGAAACCCCAGGACCAATCCCCATCTGCTGCCGGAGGGTGCTGGATTGGGCGACGACGTCTCATTCTGTTGTGTAAGGGATCACTGGAGCTGCGGGCTGATGTGGCAGCTTGCAGCAACGATGTGTGAGGTAGACGTACTTCCTCACTGCCATGGGGAAATGATGACTCAGTACCACTCTGGATTGGAACCCGGCTCCTCCCCATCCAGGGGGTTCTGGGAGGACAGGCAATCAACCGGTTCCTTGGCCCCCCTAGGGGTGGCATGAGGCCCAGCTTGTGAACCCCTTCCCCCACCAACTGCAATGGGTCCAAGGGATGGTAGCGTGGTCCAAGCAGGACCTAAGTGAATTCTCCTAGGCGTTGACCCTGGGAGAGTCTTCCTCTCTTCTGCATCTCACACCGCCACCACGTACACTTGGGATGTCAGAAGGTGGCTTCCCATGACCTGGAGAAAACCATCCATCACAGATGGAACGAGGTCCAGGGATGAAAGAAACAGAAATGAGCAGGATGGGGGAAGAGGCAGAAGTTGGTGACCGTTTCTGAGGCCCTGAATCAAGCCACAGCTAAAGCTAGCCCAGGCTGGAGCTTTCCACTAGACAAGTCATCCAACGACATGATCTCAGAGAAAGGAAACGACTTCCCCAAGGTCACTGGATTGGTGAGTGGCAGAGGCAGGCTTTGAGCTCTTCTTTTTAGTGCCTTCCTTCTTCTTCTAGCATGCCAGGTAGTGGGGAAAGCAGGGCAGGCAAGCCCGTCGGCAGCCACAACTGTCTAAAACAGTGCCCTGGGCGGGCAGGCGGGTGGCTTGCAGGGGAGAAGGGCTTGCCGGGCAGCCACAGAGGAATTTGAAGAGACTCAGGGCTGGGTGTGGAAGGGGAGAAGGCCTTTCTTTTCAGGGAAGGGGAGGGTCCAAGGGGCCTGCAAGGTCTAGCAGGTGCAGGCAGAAGGGATCTAGGAGAGCTTTCAGGCAGGGAGGAGGGATGATGCAGACACAGAGGACTGAGACCTCTCACCAAGAGACCTGGGCAGGAGCAAGGTCAGCTTGTAGGCGGGTCTGAGCTCAGCTGCTAAACCATGTGGGAGACTGAGGCCAGGGCTGGGACTGCCCACAGATGGGGCTGGAGGAGGAGCGGGAACAATTGGAGGAGGCGGAGGAAGCTGTGCACTATCACAGAGAAGACGCACAGGTGCTCGCTGGACGGGTGCCCCTGCAGGTCAGGAAGAGGCCCTGGTGACCTTGGCGGTGGGAGTGGGGACCAACGGGGAGGTTGGAGGAGAGGCAGAGGAAGTGGCTGTGGCTTTAGCGGTAACTGGAACGGGAAAGGAAGGGTTGTTCTCTCCCCAAACCATGGGTCCCCCACCCTAGGTTCCAAAGGCAACATTGAATGCTGGCCCGGCCCACGCTTCTGCCTCGTTCCCACTGAATCAGAGATGAGGCTATTTTTAAAAACATTTTTAATAAAATTAACAAAATAAATATTCTAAACAACATAGGCTACAGGGACAAAGAACAGAAGCCTCGGCCACTCTGGTCTTTAGGTCCTCTGAGAGAAAGAGAGAGAGAGAGAGAGAGAGATTGCCTGTTTGGGGCTGGTTTGGGGCTAGGACTGCTGACTGGGGTGGGGTGGGGGCGGGCAGTGATTCCAGGGGGTGGTCTGGGCTCTTGCAATCCATCTGTGTTTGGTGGCATGGGGACAGGATGTGGGGGTCAAAAAGAGCAGAGACCCTGCAGAAGGCATCCCAGTGACTCCTGAAAGTGACCGGGTGGGGCGTGGTGATGGGGGCTACCTAGAAGAGGGAGGGGGAGGGGCGGGGCAGGGTGGTGCACTTGGGCAGCTGAGACTCTCCGCCATTCACTCTCGGACGTAGACCCTGGTGCACACCACCTCGTCAGCCGTCATGGTCTGGGAAGACAGAAGTAGTTGCTAGCCTGGGTGACCCCCGGGGGGCGGGGGGGGCGGGGGCTGTGGCTTTGGAGGAGGGGTGTGGGAGGTCCTCTGGGTGGAGATGGCAGTGTTCAAAGGCTCATGGCCTGGAGACTAGGACAAGGAGGAGCCCCAGCGACCCAGCTCAGGAGCTACTTTGAGACAGCCTCCCTGGGCAGCACCCTCGGGGTGAGAGCAATGGAGTCCAGGGCCCTCCCGTCCTTTCTCCTTCAGCCAGGCAGCTTTCCCAGACAAGGGCTAGGGTAAGGTGTCCAGCTTTTAACATTGGTAAAGTGGGACACCATTGATAAAACTCGTATCCTGGCGAAATAGCCACATGGCAGCCGAAAACTGATAGCCTAGCTTGTTGTGCATTCTTTCCAAAAATCAGGACTTTTTTAAAACGCCGCGGGGTGCGGGAAAAATTGTTAAAAATCGAGACTGTCCCGCCAAAAGCTGGACGTCTGGTCACCTTAGGATAAGGTCCCTCTGCGTGGGCCCTTGCTGGCCCACAAGTCAGACCCCTGTTCAGGAAGGGAAATCCTGATTCTCCCATGACAGGGTGCCACCTTGTGGGTTCTGAGCCTTTGCCCCACCTGCAATGGGCACCATTTCTAATTCCCACAGGGCGCCATAGGGGAGGGGGCCAGCAGGCCCATCGGGAAGGTGGGGGGAACCAGCCCCGGCTGTCCTGGCTCCGCCCACACGCCAGGTAGGATGGGTTCGCCCTAGGTGGGGGGCGAGGGCTCACCAGGATGAGCTCCCCGTCGTTGGTCAGTTCTCTGGTCCAGGAGGTCTTAGGCCCCTCGCCCTTCAGAAGCCGCTGCTCACAGACCAGTTTGTTCTTGCTCTCCCATTTCACCAGGCTCTGCAAGGGGAGGGCGTCCACCTGAGCCGGGCCCACAGCAAGGAAGCGCAGTGGGCCGGGCTTCCTCCCTGCTCCCCGCCTCTACCACCTAAGGGCATCCCCCATGGGCATGAGAAGGAGACTCCAGGGCACACCTAGAAGGAGGGCAGTGGATTGGACATTAGGAAGTCAGGGACAGACGGACGTCTTCTCAGCCCTCACCTTACAGGGTCTTCCATCCACTGTCTGCTCCTCAAACTCCTCCCCGACCTTGAAGTTAATCTCGGTGGTACGCACGGTGGTGGAGGTTTTGATGTAGAAAGTATCTCCTTCGTGTTTGATTTCCACTGCTGGCTTGGATGCTGCTGCCACAGCGATCTTCCTGAGCATCATGTTCACCCCTGTGGAGAGGAGAGGGTCACCTTTGGGGTGCTTTGGCACCTGCCTCTTACCTCTCCCAGGGGACACTGGAGTATGCTGTTCTGTGAGTGGCTGGGGAGAGAGGGAGTCTGTCTGGGTTCCTGGGTAAGGACACCGTGACCTGATGAAGCCACAGTGGCTCAGCGAGACCTTCAAGCACAGGCTCTCCCACCAGGTGAACCGAGGGCCAGAAGTGAGGTGACCAGAGGCCCGCTGAAGGCCCCAGCAGCATGCTTCCTGGCCGAGGGGCACTGAGCAGAGGAGCCCGGGGCTAGGAAGAGCTTGAGTGCCCAATCTCCCCCTCTTATAAAAAGGAGAACTCTGTGAACTGTGTGAAAAATGAGATGATAGCCTCTTAAACCCAGCAGGGGGGTGGGTGCAGACTCAGGACCACCACCACCCCTACCCACCCCCCACCCCCCGCCCCGGTCCCTCCCGGGCCAGGCACACCTTTTGGTGCCTGAAAGGCCTCGGAGCTCCCTCCTGTTGCTCTTGAGTTTTACAGATAAAGAGGAAGGCCCAGAGACCCCTGAGCCAGGGTTCAGAGCTTCCCTCAGCAGATGGGCTGTTCCCCTGCCCTTCAGGAGGGCCTCCATGCGCTGCTCTCCCCAAGGGAACCCCCTCCTGACCCCCAAGAAAAGACAGAAATTGGCCCTGCCCCCCACTTGATCCCAGGGCCCCTCCTCCCACCTCAGGTGGGCGAGTCCTTCTCCTTCAGCATTGGTGGACTCAGTGTCCCCCAGATCAGGCCCCTCTCTGTGGTGTCTCTTTTTCAGAAGGGCTGCTGAGATAGGAGGGAGTCCCCATGGCTGCAGCCGCCTGGAGACCAGCAGTTGGGAGGCACTTCTGGCCCAGGCCCAGAGCCAGGCTTAAGCTCCACACCCCCGCCTCACCTGGCCTGGCCGCCTGCCCTGAACTGGAGCAGAACCTGCAGAGAAGCAACAGGTGGGGAGAAGAGGGCCAAGCTTGGCTAGCCCTGGCACGTGGATTCCTCTGGCCCAGATTCCCTGGCCCTGGCTTGGCTCACACCTGGCCCTCTTCCAGATCTGGGTTCCTAAAGCAATACACATCTTCTTCATCCTCGGGGCCAAAGCAGACCCTGCCAGGGTTTTGGACACCAGGGAGAAGGAGGGGAACTCATCCTCTTGGCTGTTGATCTCTGGGGCCAGGTCCCCAGGCCTAATGCACTTGTTAGCTGAGGCTCATCTCACCCCATCTGCTTGGGCAGAGGGGCTCGGCTGTTCTCTGGGAAGTCCATCCTGCTATCCTACACCTGTCTTTCCTGTTATTAGTCGCAGAATCCGTTATGTGCCCTGAGCTGCACCCTGGAGGAGACGCATCCCCCAGATTCCTGAGCATCCCTGGTCAGGAGAGGGGACGTCCAACAGGACAAAGGGGCATGAGAAGGGACTGAGGCTGCTCTAGTGACAAGACCTCCAGCCAGCCTCCAGGGGCCTGACTCAGCTGACCTTGGCCTACTCAAGACTGTGTTTCTCTAACAGGTCTGTTTTCAATCTGTGCCCCCAGCAGGGGCTGCAGAGGGCACGTGGCTCTGCAGGTCCCTGCAGGGAGGACACACAGACTGGAGACAAACAGGGTTGGATCTTACTCTCCAACTGGGACCTGGGGGTGTGCCAGGCAATCCCCACATCCACTGGGGCCAGAGATCAGAATCCAGAGGGGGCTGGGCGGGAGGGGAGGAATGGCATCTAGGCTTCCTGAAGGGAACAGTTCTCTCCCTGGGTTTTTCATTTCAGGAAGGGCAGAACAAGCGCTGACATGATTCTCATAAGCATTGCGGTTAGACTGCAGGAAGAACCCAATTTCAAGGAACTGAGGAAACCAGACTTCACTGCTCTGCCCACGGCACTTCCAGTTCCTTCCTCGAGCCAGCCGAACGTGGACTGTGCCCTGCCCCACACAGGGTCTCCCACGGGAAGGATCCTAGGTGACTCTAAGGCTGTAGCCCGCCAGGTACTCCTCTTAACTGCTGGGCATCTTGAATGCCATCTAGCCTCACCCCTTTCCAGAGCAAGGCCCCCAGTGGCGGAACCCTTGCTTTCCCCAGCCCCGGACACCACCACCACCCCTCCTCCTGGAAAGCCGGTGGGGCAATCTGGGTAGGAGCTGAGAGAGCAGAGCGGGAGGAGGGAGCTGGGACTTTTGGAAATTATAGTGGGGGGCGGGGAGGAGGGGAAGGGGTTGTGGTTTTACACAAAGCCATTTGCTGAAATCCAAGAAAGTGATAATTATCCGGAGTGATTTCAGGACTCTGGAGTTGCACACTTTGGGAAAATATTTGCCTCCCACAGTAGGGGAGAAGGACTGACAGTGGAAAGAGTTGAAGGCGGGAGGGAAGGGAGGGAAGGGGGGGAGTGGGGAGCAAAGATCACCTGATGGGTGGCTCCCAGCTCAGAATGAGCCTACCCCCGGGAAAGGGGAGAGTGGGGGTGGGGGCGGGAAGGCGGCTGGGACATCTAGGAGGACCCGGTTGGGTAGCCATAGGCAGGCTCTGAGTCCTGGTGCCTTTGTGGCAATCCAGTGGAAGAACTTCGGGGAGCCAGATGCCCTGGTCAACACCGACCAGGAAGCGGAGCCCCCTCCCCCCCCCGCCCCTCCCCAGGGAAAGCGACCTCGTGTTTCTGGTTTCTAGTTGATTCACAGCCTGAGTCACCGCAGGAGCTGGCACCCGTGGGCCCCGCCGGTGAAAGCAGGATTTCGGTATCAAGCGTGCAGCCCCTTTCCCTGGAAATAAAGGCTGCTCGCCTCCCACACCGGGGGGACCACGACAACCCCCTTCCTTTATGACCTGTGGTTCTTTCCCGTCCTCACCTCCGCGGACTCGGGCGCCCCTCTGTCCCTTCTGGGTGCCCGAACCCTCCTTCCTTACCCAGAGTTTTGAGCAAATCTTCAAAGTTTTCTGATCGGATGATCTTCCAGTTGCCAGAGAAGTTGGGCATGGTGGCGGTGCGGATGGGGGACCCCGAGGTCTCTCGGCTGGAGCACTAGACACGGAGTCCTCCAATAAAGAGAGCGATGTTGCAGCCCTCGCAGGATCTCGACTCTCAAGTTAGAAGTGGACCCGGGACAACCCCGAAGCAGACCAGGGCGCCCGCGCACGGGCAGCCTTTATACAGAGAGCGGCCCGCCCCAGCCCAGGACCGAGGTGGTGGCTCCGCCCCCTGCCCCGCCCCCGCCCCACCTTGGGGACCCTGCGCTCAGGCCCCGCTCTCCCATCTCCCCCCTGGCCTCTGGATCTCGCCCCCAGGCTGGACCCGGAGGGCTCGCTCGAGCGCCAGTGAGTGGATGGGACAAAGAGGCGGACGTTAACCGAGACTTGGAGCGTCCTGAGACCCGGAGGCTCTGGGGGACTCCGGAATTTGCACGGGGTGGGGGTGGGGGTCTTGCGTCCAGCTGCCCCGACTGCGGGGACGCGTCTCGCAGGTCCTCCGCCCCTCCCTAGTCTGCCTCAGTGAGCCCACCAGCGGGCCCGGGCGGGGACCGGACGACTAAGCCCAGGCGGCGGTGCTGGGTAGGGGCCGGCAGCCGCGTGGACTCCGAGGCCGCACCAGCTTCGCGCTCCCGCCGGGCAGCGGGGCGCGTGGGCGCGCGGGCCGGGCACCTGGCGGGGCGGCGGCGCCCCCTGCTGGAGCGACTCGGGGCCCCGCGGCGCCAGCCCTTCCCCACGGCTTTCCTTTCGGTCCGCGGGCCCCCGGAGACACGAGAAATCCTGCCTCCGAACGAACGAACGCCCGGAGCCGGCTTCCTAGGAAGGGTTAAGGCCGCGCCCGGGGGTGGGGGCGCGAGGCCGGGGAGGGCAGAGGGCACAGCCAATCATTTGACACCAGCTCTTTATGAAGGCCCTTTCCGCGTCCCTGCGGCCGCCAGACCCCGGAGGGGGTCTCAGTAGGCCGCGGGGCGGGAGGCGGCGACAAAGGCCCGGGCGCCCGGCAGCCACCTAGGTTGGATGGAGGCTAAGTGCCAGGAGAGGGGGCGGGGCGGGGTCTCAGGTGTCACCTCCTAGAGTCGTAAAAAAAAAAAAAGAGCGGAAGGACCGGCTTTGAAGTGGGAGATCAAAGGAGGGGGAGGGACACGGCTCCCGTCGGAGCCCCAGGTGGGAGGGGGCGAGACCCCGAGACAAAAAGAACAGGAATGAGGGTCAGGCGGGGGTCTCCGAGACCCGACGGGAGCCCCAAGGAGGCGGGTCCGGAGGGGCGCGGGCTCGCGCGGGACACAGCCTCTCTGGCAGGTCCAGCGCTGGGTGGGAGCCAGCTCCGGCCCGCTACCCTCGGCGGTGAACCGGCCCTGCGGGGCTCACTCCCCACCCCCCGCCGCAGCTCCTTCCCAGGTGGGGACCGAAAACCCTGCGTCAGGTCCTCGCCCGGTTCTCTCTGGGCCCTGGGCCCTCCCTGCCAGCGTGGCCAGGGGCGGAGACTCCACCCTCGAGGCCTGTCTGCAGCGCACCCCTTCCCCCTCCCTAGGAGTCTCGGTCACACCTCTCTCGGGGGCTCGCCCAGGAATTTGGGGCCCGGGAACGGGCCTGCCGGGGCAAAGGAGAGGGGCTGCAGGATTTGACCTGGGTGTTGAGAACTGGACTTTGGAGAGCTCTTCAATCAGGCCTCCGGGCTGTAGCGGGAAGACGGTTCTCTGAATAAAGGAATGGGCAGAAAGTGGGGGGAGGGATGATTCAATAAAGGCGTTGGGCTGAAAAGTGGAGGCGGATCACTGTGGAAAGAACTTCTTGATGGGGTCCCCAGCCTGGAGTAGCCAGTAAACTGCCAAGTCTGAAGATGCTTCAGTCTGGTGCAGAGATCCTGGTTTTGTGTGGGAGTGGTTCGTCGTTCAGCCGAGGGCTCCCGGAAAAGAGGGAAGCGGGTTAGGAGCTTGCCAAGGAAGGACAGACAGACAGAGGCAGAAGTGGGGAAGGGAGGGGGGACTTTAGGGGGGTGCTTAGGACCTGGGGCTGCAATCCCTGCCGGGCCTCCTCACCCCAGCCTGCTCCTGGCTCCAGGACTACACTGTAGGTAAAGGAAGGGGGGTTAGGTTTTGACAGTGGAATCAGGCTTCCAGCCAAAGGGATGAGGCGCGCCTGGGGGAGGGAACATGGGGGAAACCGGACTCCCCTCGGCCCTCCCTCACCCTCACAGCCTCTGCCCCTGCCTCTCCCACCCAGGGTTTTGTCCATCTCCAGTCCATTGCAGTCCTCTGCAGCCTCCTGCTCTACAGAAGGCCTCTTATTACGAGGGAGATGGGCCTGTGCAGGCCTGTGACTAAGGGTGGTAAAACCTCACCCAAAAGATGGTCACCAGGACGGTCGAGGGATCCAAAGCCTCCAGGGGGCAGGCTAGGAGGGACATGGGAAGGCCCTTGACCCTAGAACAGAGAGAGACAGGCTCCTAGGGACACAGAGGAGGCAGGAGCCAGAGAGCAGTGGGCTCCCAGGAGCGGGAGCGCGGATGCTTGGGCCCCACGCCCCTCCCTTCATTTCCCCACCGGCCAGCATTTCCAAAGAGTCAGAGGAAGACAAAGGGAAGTGGGGCTAGGAGGGGAATTCTTTCCAGATACAGTGTTTGCCGTTTGGCAGCTCTGAGCCCAGCTCCAGGCCAGCCAGCCGGCCAGCCGGCATCCCGAGCCTGGCTGAGGGAGCTGGATAGGGTCCCCAGCAGTGTGCCCTGCAGCTGGGCCCACGGAGCTCTCCCCAGCGGCCCTGGTAGCCCAGGGAGCAGGAGGGCATGGGGTTGCTGGGTGGGGGTGGCTCAGGGAGTCTGGAGACTACACCAAGGTGAAAGCTGAGCTGGCCAGGCGGGGGCGGGGAGGGGTGGGGGGAGCAGAGGTTGGGGGAGCACAGGAGGTTGGGGGAGCAAGGGGCAGGGGCCCTGGAACCAGGTGACAGGGTGGAGCTTCAGTCCGCATCAGCCACTCAGTCACAAACAACTGGCTTTAATTTCCCGCCGGGATCAATAAGGAGAAGGAATTTCCCAGTGTCGCTGGCCTTTTAATTATGACCAAATGTGTGGCAGATCTACCCAGGGCAACCCCTTCCCCCTCCCTAGGAGTCTCCTCACACCTCTGGGAGAGGGGGTGCTCTCCCAGGAATTTTGAGACTCCAGTGGAGGCAGGGGTGAGGTTGGCGAGAGGAGGGTGGTGGGGATGCATGCTGTGAGGCTGAGTGTGGAGAGTGGGGGAAAGATGGAGTGTTCTGGAAGGAACTTTCCGGAACTTTGTTCCCACTGCACCGTGGCTCAGAGGAAAAGAGGTGGTTTTGCACCAGGAGGAATGGAGATGAGTTTCTAGAAGGTGGGGTGTGTGTGTGTGTGTCTGAGTGGAGGTGGATTGATGTGTTACTGAGAGAGGAATCCAAGGGACTTGGGAGGGAACACTCCCCCCATTCCTCTTTATCACCCCTTCCCAGGCTGAGTGGGAAGGAGAGACCAGCCAGTCCAGCCACTCCCTGAGGAGGAAAGGGATGGTGGGATGAGGGGAATGGGTGAGTCATGAACCCCTACCCTCACTCTCACCCCCAACCGGGACCAAGGAGTTTCCTGGCCAAATCCAGCATTTGCAGAAGAGCCCCACCCTGAGCAGTGTTGTTGCATCTGCTGGGTCAGAGGGTTTCTTGGCTGGGAGTCACAGAGAAATTAAACCCAGGTGGGACAGGACACCTGGATCTCTGCCACCCAGTACAGAGCTAGAAGAGAAGGCAGACCCTGGGAAAGAAAGGGTGAGGGCTGCCCCTTGCCCTCCCTGAGCCCCTCAGCACAGCTTGGTCCCATCAGGACAGAGAGATGACGTGATGCTCTGGTGCTGTCTGGCTCCCTGGGCTCAGAGACTCAGTCCTTTCCAGGCTCGGAATCTCTCCAAATGCAATTTCCATGGTAACAGGAGGGGTGCGTGTAAGCAGGGGAAGATCGAGCGAATCTCTAGGAATGGGTCTTGACATCTAGAAGGTAGAAATGTTGGGGTGCAGGGCGGAGATCCTGAAACCTAGGGGAAGCGCAGGCAGAGAAGCCTGGAGAGAGGGACAGCTGGGTCCCAGGAGCCGGCCCCAGGTGCGGCAAAGGGAAGCAGGTGTGGTCCAGGAGGCTAGACCTTAGGGCAGGAGGAGAGGGCTATGAGATCAGGAGGGATTGCAGTTAGACCGGGAGAGGATCTGCCCTGCACCCCAGCATCCAGGCGACGCCCCTGTTGTTCTTGGCTCTGCACCTCTCTTCCAGCTCCAGCTGCCAACGCTCTCCTCAGGGCTGGGCCCGGCTGAGCCGAGGGAGGGAGGAGATGGGCATGCACTGACCGAGGACCTGTTCTGACCACATCTCTGCACCTCTGGAGAGGCCCCTGGCTCTGCTTGGCCTTCTCAGGAGCCAGCACAGGGTGTGGGAAGCTACTGAGGAGTCTGGAGACCCTGCAGAGGGGCAGCTAGCGGCCTCACTAGCCCTTTTCATCTTGGTCCTTGTGCGTTGGCGCAGTCTGGTGCTTCTGGCCAACCTGGCGCAGGGAGGAATCTCCTTCGCTTCTGTTTCTCTTCCTCCTTCGAAGACACCAAGGTGGTCCTCCTGTGGCCCTGTTGGTGGCAGCTGCCACCATCTGAAAGTGGGCAGGCCTGGGCCTGACCCTGGCCAGCTGTGGCTTCCTTCTCTCCGTTCCCTAAAGGAATTCCTCCATGGCAGTGCCGGAGGGAGAGGTCAGTCAGCACCATGACACCGCGCCCCCCAACCCCCAGTTAAATGCCCTTTGGCTTTTATGATCTAGTTACTAGGACCAGGCACCTCTGCTATGTGTACCCCCTGCCCTGTCCCTTAACCCCTGGCAGCTCAGCGTAGGAGGAAGGAGGCTGAAGCTGCGACAAATTCTGCAGGCTGAACACCTGGGTTTGTTCCGCACCTGGGGAAAGTGACCTGCTCTGGGAAAGATAAACAGCTCACACGCACCCTCTCAAGGCCTGGGAACCCAAGCCATCTATCCTGTGGATGCCTCCTCGCTCACCCTCTGATGATGGAAGATGCAAGGGAGATGCCTTCGGAGGACTCCTTCCCGCCCCACATCCAGGTGATCTGGAGCCCCGTGGCATTGTGGGTGATGTGTCAT